AAATAGGTCAAATATTAATAACACTATGGATTAGATTATTGTTTCATTTATTTCATGTAAATCAATAAAAAAAAATAATATTGCAAAAACGGAAAATTTAGACGATATAGCAGTTGTGTCTGTAAATGAAAAAGCTAGAAATGGTACTTTATAAAATATTTGATATTCGTATATTTTTTTTTCTTATGTTTATGAATTTTTTCATGTCGTAATTTTATTAACAATATTTTTTAATGTGAACAGTAAGTAAATTTAAACACGAGTCACATTATTTAGATAAACTCGATGGATGTTATTATGGTTTTGAAAATTAATAATAATTTACTTAAATTGATATACTAAATCTAGTGGTCTATAACGCTTGAGTCAATTAGGTTAATAGCTAGAATGTTAGTATTTGCTATTAAACATTGGTATAATATTGTATTCTCAACCAGATTTTTTTTATCTATTCTTCAGATATACTATTATTATTTTATAATAATTCTATAACAATTTCTTTGTAGACTATACTTTTTTGAATGCTTACTATATGTCTAAAAAGGCAGCCGAACAGTATCTCTTTTATTCTTGGTCTAATTGTATATGAATAAAAAAAAATCTAATTTAGTTGATTGTTTATTTATACATATAGATAATTGGATTTACAAGTAATACTGCATTCATTTAAATAAAGCATTTTAATTGAGTGAGGTTTTTGGATAAATTATATTTCTAAATAATAAATAATATGATAGTTACACATTATATTTATATATAATTATCAATTTTAACTTATACTATCTCTACATAATCTAAAAAATATAACAAATCTCAAATACATTGACAATGGAAACAGTAGAGAAATCTATTGCGAAAAATAGGGGCCCATGCTAATATAAACTAGATAAACTTTTCTTGACTGAAGCGGTATAAGTTAAAGAAATATTGCCAACAGGTGATTACAATAAAATGTTGTCAACGTTTTAAATTGAAGGCTTTTTTATTATAAAGTGGATTATAAATAAATTGGTCGCTAAATAATAAATAAATGAACTTAAATGTATACTTGCACGCATTCCACATGATAAGTTTATTTTAAGACTTAAAGGTCAATGCAGAGTATCTCAACTCCGGTTTTGATTATTAACAGAATAATTTATATTGTGGCTATCCGTTAAATGAATAAACCCATTGTGTTTGTTGTTCTGTCGATTATTAATTTTAAAAAGGATACGGAAATTCCATATAGGAAGTAAACATTTTTTGCGATACACTATCGTTCAGAGTTAATGGCTATGATTAATATTTAAATAATGATATATGTAAATGGAAGTATAATACATTTAGATTTAATAGAAAACACTCTAAGTATTAAGAATATTACATGTCAATATCATATCGCAATTTGAAAACTTTAGTTGAGTATCTAATTCGTTTACTTATTATTGTATACAATGAGAAATAGCGCAATTGCGCTTAGGATTTGAAAAGGATACCAATGAAGTTGAGATCCATTATTTCCCACACAGTTATTCCCAGATTTCCGGGAACCTTTGACACAAATACATTTCCCATTGCTGCATTGAGTATTACTTGAAATTGATGCACACTGAAGTGAATCCTCGCATGAATTTTGGACATCCAACGCGCTTGCAGCTGCAAAATACGGATGATTTTTATAACATTCCAATTGATCATCTCAAAATATTAGGGTAATGTTACTCAAGTCGTACCAATCCCATGACAAAAGCACTTCAAACGGTCTTAAAATGTATACTTTATACTAGCTTATAAATTATTGATAAAATCAGGTTCCTTGTTAAATACACATTCTTTAAAATTTATAGAGTTGTTTATAAAAAGCGAAATCGTATTATCTTTGCATGTGCATTTGCCATGACTTAAGTCGTACTTCTTTTGTAATTTATTTTTATCTGCACTGTTTTGATTATAACGACTTTAGCAATCTTACCCTAACTATCTTTATTACGAAAATCGAACAACAAAACACTCACGTTTTACACATTTATAGTCCCTGGGATTTATTAAAACGTATTCCTCTATGCATTTGCATACTCCAGATGTCCCCCTGTCTCGGCCAAAACAAAAGCCGTTGGCTCTGCAATCTTTGTCTAACCAGCATACCTTATTTGCTTCCACTGAGAAAAAAAAACGAATAATTATTTTTGTCAAATTTCAATATTATAAATTCAAAAAAATACCTTCTGTTTCCACCAGGAACAACGCAATAAAACAGATGCAGTACCAAACTAATTTCATTTTATTTAATTTGACTAGTAACACAAATACAGCACAAAACAGTTATATTTTTATTTGATAAAATTTGCTTAAAAAAAATCTATATTGAACGGCGTATAAACCCTGCTTACTTCTCACTATACAACTGAATGAGCAAATGACGCGATACTCGTCTGGCGCTTTTTTAATTTATAATGTTTTCTTTTTATCAGAACCGGGCTCAGATATACGGAACCAATTAACAGTATAGGACCGTATTTCGCACCGTTTTTATATAAGATATCAGTACAAGACAAGACTGGACAAATCTTATCGGAAGCAGCGACCAGACTTAAATAAGATCAACAATCCTACTACTACTACTACTATTATTATTGTTAATATAGTGTATTAACGAATTAGAGACATTCACGGCGTCTCTTAGTCGCCTTATAAACATATATATAAGCATAATGGAACCTACACCGTGAGACCGATTGTAACATTCCTTCCTATTTTCAACTGAGAAACCAGACGCAGAATAGGCAGTTTCATCGGGACCAACTACTGATAAGAACATCGCTCATATTTTCAACTGGGAACCAGATGCAGAATTGGCGTCCGCTTAGGAGCAGTGACCTGAAGCGGAGCGTCTTATCAAAACCGTGTTTTACTCCTCAAACTCCCACCCCCTTGCTTAGTTAATTTTATATGTAGAATAAGTATTTGTAATTAGTCTTAAGAAGAACGTTAAAGAATCAAGTCGTATCGAATATTTTAATAATAAACAACAAGTAAAACTTGTTCAATTTATTATTTATCCAACCTAAGGCTCCACAACAGACAACATAAGAAGATACTCCACAGTGTCCAAAAATCCATCCCTGGGACACGACGTTATATACCACTTATGTGGTTTTGGCGCTTGTGTTGCACAAGGTGGTGAAGTTTCTCAAAGTGCTTGACTTCTCGGCCAATTTCTACCATAAAATACATTTAGTACACATTTTTTTGATTACCCACTGCATGCAGGTATTGAAAGAAGTCCTGGTCGATAACCTCTTAAGCAATGGGCTAATATAGATCAGTAAAAATATATAATAACATGTTTATTAATGTATTATAAGCATGACCCACTACATAAAGAACATAATTACTGTGACATCAATATGTTATAAAATTTCATTGAAAAATTCATAAAATATGATGCTTGTTATATTAGTCTACATATCGAGTATCCGATGTATCTCATGCCGGCCCTGGCATCAATGATTATATTTTGTTTATATATTTTTTTTTTAGCTTTTATTGTTCATTCACAACCTGCTAACAATTTATATATAACATAACATAATTTCAAAGTAAAAGTCCATGTCACTGTTTATAAACCTTTCTCCAAGTGAACACTACACTTTTTAATGTTACATGTAAGTATGAAATATGAAAAACAATGTCTTTTGAATTATGATAGCAGATTCGATTGCAGACCCTTCCATTGAAAGATCGGCGATTATAATCTGCTAAGAACTTTTCTGGCATAGCAAATAATTGGAACGAGTCAATTTCCCACTTCAAAAACATCTCCCATGACGCCGCATTTTTCTTTAAATTAAACCTGTTTAATTTAAATTAAACCTGTTCTCCAAGAAACAAAGAGTTTAAAATAAAAACCCCCTGGTTCCAACTTTACATGAAAGATAATAAAATGAAGATCAAGTGTATTCGATGAATTTATAAAAAATAATTTCTTCAACTAAATTCACCTTTACATTGATGGATCCTTGTTAAACTATCCAAGATCAGTTTCATACGGGATAGTCTCTCCTCAAGTTGATATTATGGCTTTCTTTATAACAGTTAATAGGTAATATTACAGGTAAATTTTATTAAAAAATATCAGTAATTTCGTTTCTTTTTACGGAAATTCATATGAAGATTTTGGATTTTATAACTAAAACCAGACGAGTGGACATTTATTTCGTCGATTTTCAAAAAACGACACGATACACAACGACCTCCACATGAACATGTTAAAGTGAAATCCCCAAGTTCAGTGCCCGTTACCAGAACAGACTTGAAAACCACCCCAACAGTCTCGCGTTATCCCTGCTAGATAATAGTGACACCACCTAAAGAGATACAACACCCTCGATCTCCCCTTTAGAAAGTAAAAGTTCGTTTCATTGTCCATTAGAATAAATATTTTTATTTAATTTTCATAGTGTCGCCAAATCAATTTTTTGTTGGGTTAATATTGTCATTGGATTAATTTTTATAGTTAAATTTATATTTGTTTGTAGGAAGATTTCCGATGGGAAATAGTTCCGCTCCATGCTTTTTATTTTGTTTTTTCTGTTTTTATTTTCTTTTTTTTTCTGTCTTGGAAAAAAAAAACATTCGACTTATTGCCAGAGATGTTGGCAGATTGTGAATAAATAATAAAAGTTAAAAAAAATAATTGTAATACAATAATATAATAATTTCTGAATCAGAATTGTCGTCATTGCCCACTCTATATAAGCGCGAGTAGAGGTATCAACATCGTCTGCTATTACACCAACACTGCAGAGCAAGTACGAATATGCACATAAACAACGTTTTTGTGCCACGGTCAACACAATATTGCACTGGCATTTAGTAAACACGGTATGGGTTACGTTAAGTGTCTTTGATAGGGAAAAGAAAATATAGATGTGAATGTGAATAGATGTGAATATTCGAAAATTGGTGTACTTTTTACACCGGCCCGTAGTTAAAGGTTAGAGTCGGGTAGTACCTGTCTGATAGATGTGATGGTAAGAAGTCTAAATCTCATCATCTTTGCATGTCAAATGTAACACTATAGAGGCTAGTAAAATGGTGTCAAGAGATGTTGGCTGAATCTATGCAGATAAAAGAAGGTTTTTTTTTTTAAGTTAATTAAATTTAAAGGTGTTGAATTAATATACAACGAAATTACAAATTGTAAGAGTAACATAAGAAAATAAATATAAAAAAAAATTACACAAGTAACAGTTACAAGGAAGATATATACTAAAAATATATAACAAGATGAGTGTATGAATTTAAGATGAGGATTTGGAATTATTTTTCAACTATATATACATTATTTAATTTTTATTATATATGATATGATACCACTTTTCGAATGACCTCGACGAAAGGCAATCAACTCTCCAAGAACAGTCGTTGGAATGAAATACATGTAAAACACAAAAAGTCAGACGAACGAATACTCCGAAAAACAAAGATGACTTCCAATCCAAAACACGAGAAAGCAATTCGCATATTATTGAACATTATTATGGCAATAATACTAGGCAATTAAAAAGCTGGACTTCCAAAAATAATGACCATCCCAAATGAGACATGAAATGCAAATGGACTTAGTCCAGTGACGGAACTTCAAATTAGTGTGTCCCCTGCAAAATATAATTTGGGCCTATAAGAAAAAATAACATTATTTTGATTTAAATATAACAATATATAATAATAATAATTTGCTGAGTCATAGATGACGCTAGACTATGATTTAATAAGGGGAAAACTGTTGAAAGAACTTCCAATGAAATAAATTAAACTGCTGCAAAGGGCTATTGACCATAGGTCTTTCTGTCCGAAATATATTAATTACCCAATTTTCCATACTGTAATACGTACAGCCTACTTTCCAGCGCAGTGGAATCAAATCATGCAGATTAAAAAGCTCCTTAGCAATATTATCAAAAGTATTAGGGAAAAGGTAGGATTTATTAACGGAGAATAAATTACTAATATAGAAGGTAATAATTAAACCACTATGTACAATTGGTATAAAACTGTGGGATGCAGTCAGCAAACCTAACATAAAAATTATCCAAAATATCTAAGAAATATTATCTTGGTGGATACAATAACTATGTTTTGCAGCAGTTATGAGGATAGACTGGAATCACATTCTAATGTTCTGACAATTAATCTCCTTGATAAAAGCAAACAACAAATATGCGTTTTAAACCACTAGTATATAGATTTATATAAATTATTATTAATTGTTCATAATCATAATAATAATGGTAAACAGAATAGTTTATCCATTGAAATAAAATAAATTTTATTATCAAGTTTAATTTAAACCAGTTTCAGGAGACTGTCTATCATGATGAATAAATGAAAATGTTCAAATATAATAATAATACAATAATACCTTATATTATTAAATGTTTTATAATAATATAAGGTTTCCTTCTGACAATAATGTGTCAGAAGGACTTAAGTCGATAGGCCTTTAGTCCTAGTCAGGACCAATAAAAATATTTAAATAAATAAACAATATAATGTTATGTGATTCTTGTATTATATGTATTTTTCTTCTCTGTGTAGGTTCAATTTTGTAAATTATTTTTAGTTTATTTATCACTGTGGTTTAATACACTGATATGTATTTTGTGGTTTTGCATTCTCATATACTTTATATATGGCGAAGATATTACAATGGATGCAAAAAATATCAGAGTATTATTCATTCAAACAGAATTTTAAAGAAATGCGCGACCAACGATTTCATTTTTGGGTATTATAAATTTCGATATTCAAGTAAATAATAAATTAAAGAAATGGTAAAAATAAATATTTTCGACAGTTCGTCAACTTACAAATAGAATATATTTTTGGAAGCAAAATATTATATAAACATAGCATACATTTATTGATTTCATTGGTCATTATTCATTGCAGCATTTCTGGACGTCGATTAACTGAATGCATTTAAAAAAACGGATATTATAATATTGCATTCAAATTTTAAATGTTTTACGTAGTAACTCAATATCTGTAGAGCTTATTAATAACAGAAAAATATTGATATTACGTTGGTCATCTATTTTGTTTGCATCTTTTTTCCCGCATTTTCCGTTTGTGCAAATTGTAGCATCCACGCATTCATCATCACTGATACAATCATCACCAAGATGCTTGCTCTGGATACAGCGGTTCCCGGAATCGTGGAAATCGGTGAGGCAAACGCACTGTTTGTTCTTGCATTCACTATTTACAAACCTTTTTGTACACTGTTCTGACTGTTCACAAGTACCCGGAATTCTTAACGTACTGGCAGCTGCAAAATTTTACAAATTTACCTTACGAGTATTAAAATACGTAACAAAGTATTTTATGCTTTAGTTTACATGTTTTATATGTTTACATGACTCAAAATAAAAATAGTACTGGATACGTTTACCTTGGACACATTTATAATTTCGCGGATTGATAAGAAAGAAATCTCGATTGCATTTGCACTTCCCCTTTTTGTTAATGTTTCTGTCAAAACAAAAACTGTTTTCTTTGCAGTCTTTATCCAGCAAGCAATCAACGTTGGACGTCACTGAAAGATCAAAATATAATTATTGTGAAGATCGGCATTCTTTTAGCAAGTGCTATATCTGTACATACCTTCAACGTCCATTTTGACGCTGGCTACAAAACATATCAAGAATAGAAGTAATACCTTCATTATTTCTATGTATATGAACAAATATGGAATTATGTGCGTGTGTATCTTCGAATTAAATGTAATTAAATTGGTATGCCGACAACCTTTATATGTGTTCAGCATTGAGCATGCCAAAAAAAAATGCAACCACACAATTTTATCGCACTTCCTTTGGTATCACTACTATACAAATTAGTAAATAAGTCCAAAGAGCCCCAAAATAGAGTCATCAACGAGACTTACATAGAGATCCACAAAATCGTTTGTGGTTGATAGGTCTTATTAAGGGATAACAAAGTTTTTTTTTATATATTCGTGTCTTTTACAAAGAAAATTATATTCATTTTTATTATTTTTTTTTGTAGAATGTCTTTGTCTATTGTTAATTGTAACAGAAAGACCTCGGTCGATAACCCTTTCGTCATAAGTGTGGCCAATAAATATGTTAAATAATTTCAAACTGATATAACTTCAAATTTAATATAACACAAAAAGTACGTGCAAGTATAGATTACAAAAAAATTATCTGGGCCCTCGAATCTTATAATATATACCCTGCCTAGGGCCCACGGCACTCTTAATTTAGCCTATTAAAGACCAATATTCCATCCCCTCGTCATCATTTTTTAATTCTCTCTTTCAAATCAAGAATTTCCTCAAATTTGCCGCGCAATTTCGGAAAATCTCGATCAGTAATTATCGCGAATTGAAAATCCAGTAGGAAGATTTAGAAATATATTTTATTTTTATGATTTAAATTTTAAAAATTAGAGATCCGAACATGGGACAAGAATTTGAAATTCCACTACTGGCAGAGTATATTGAAATACGTGTCTAATTGTTTCGTAATTTAAAGAGTGAATATTGTCTCCAAATTAACAAAGTAACAGTGATATGATCAATTACGAAAAATTTAGAGTCACTTCAGCTCGACAATAATCGGCCAGCTTTACATTGGTCTTTGCGTTTATACGATAAAAATGTGATAAAAATGTTTTTGCCATTTATGTGGATAATAATTATCTATGACCGCAGTCTTGGTGTAACTGCAAGTTCCCTTAGTCACGGTTATTCCATTTAAAATACATTGTATTTGCATGCACTAGCAATATTGTTCCTTTAATTAATCTGTGTAATTAATTTATTTAATTTAGGAAAAATGAAATCACTAATTTTCCTCTGGTTCTTTCTCATTGCGACCTCAAAATTGCAAACTCTTTGTAAGTACACGCACTAACTTAATGACGCAATAATTTTCATGGTTAACCGTATTTTCAGATGTGTCAAATGAGAGTTGCCAGTACGACAAGCATTGCAAAGACGGTAGTTTTTGTTTCGGTAAAGACTTGAATAAATCTGGTTTGTGCAAATGCATTTTGAACTTCTTTATAATCAATCCCAGCAATTACAAATGCGTTCAAGGTAAGTTTTCGATTCGGGCGTTGCCAATATTGAGAATAATTTATTTTAGCTGCAACAAAACTGGGAGTTCCGGATTCTTGCGAAGACCAGTCGCAATGCACTCAGAAGTTCCGGAACAGCGAATGCAACGGTCGGATGTGTCTTTGCGTGACAGATTTTCATGAATCCAGGAATCGTTGCATCAAGACCAAACGTTTCGGGGATCCTTGCACTGATAATGAAGAATGCGACGCAAATACCGCGTGCACCAGCGGGACGTGTCAGTGCGTAGATGGTTACCACGATGCCAATAATCGATGTATCATTAACAAATATCTTGGAGAATTTTGTGGGGATCTCGAGGAATGCGTGGAAAACACAATGTGTGATGGCGTCAAGTGTGTCTGCAAGATAGGCTTCAGTGAATCCAATAATAAATGTTACGAAAGCAAATATCTTGGAGAATCCTGCGACAGTTTGAGCATGTGTCTCGATAACACTGTCTGCAATAATAATATCTGTATCTGCAACAACGGCTTTCATGAACTTGAAAAGAAATGTATCGTGAGTAAATATGTTGGGCAATCTTGCGTTCAGCAAGGCGAATGCGTAGAAACCGAAGTAGATTGTCAAAATAACATCTGCACTAAACGCAAGAAAAGCAATGCTCAGACCAATAAAATCCATTTTGTCATAATTGCAGTCACCATTTTTATATTTTTAATTTCTATTAGGAACAACCTATACCAAATGATTAGGTAATTTGATTTACTTATGTTTGTAATGATTTATATTTACATAACAATAATTTCGTTTTTACTCGCAAGTGCTTAAAATATTATTATTTAAAAAATTGCTTAGTTCGTTCGTGCTTAATAGGTTTGAAAAAAATCTTATAAAATAAATGTTAATAATAAGGTACAATTTTTTGGTTGACCGCAAACTTTTATCCTATAAATATTTGTTACCAAAAACTTCACAAATCATGAAAACCATAAACATTACAGCTGAATATGTAAATACTGTTAATATGCAATGCTAAGATTTCGAATTTTGAAGCCCTGCAAAAGGGGTGTAATTTGGTATATATTTTTTTATAAAATAAATCGAAATATAAGACAAATGTTGTTCATAAATTATTATATTATTGTTATTATAATATCTAATATATCGCAAATTTATTAAAATTTGTATGCAAATAATTAAATTTTAATCATTTAAAATTTTAAAGTTATCATTTAAAATGTTTTGTTATATTGTGAAGATTATTTTATCAAATTTAGAGATTAACTAATGAATGACTTGATTTTTGACAATCATATTGTTCAATATAAATAAACAATATTATTAATAATGTATATTAAATTTACGGTTTAGAAATTTGTTAATTTCCTTCTTTCTTCAACCTTTTCTTCCATTTGTTTCCACGTATTTCCTTTATTCACTAATTGAGGAAGTAATTCAAAGGTTGTATTATTATATTTATGATGTAAAATTACATAAGTAAATTTGAATAGACTAAGAGTACTAATTATTATCCATTCTTTCTGGATTTCTTTTTGCTTCTTGGTATATACAGAAAAAAAGTAAAAGTTTTCCGCCTGAGCAAAATCTTGCATAATCCGTTTTTTTTTTTTGGTGAATCCGGAATTGCTTAAAAAAATAATTATCAGTTGGTTAATCAATATTTTCGCTAATATAAAATAAATTATAGGGAGTAATTAGTATTTTCAATTTGAATCCAATTAAAATCAAACACACTTGAACAATGATACTTTGGACAGCACGCTCCAGAAGTTTACCATCTTCGGCAAGAGTCCATTCTTGAATAGAGGGCACTTGCATAACGCGCGCACAATTAGTATTCCCGTGGCGTAATGATATTAAAACAAAAATTGTAATAAATGCGATGCGGTGAAAGTGTTTTCTAAAGCGACGAAGAAGTCGCGCGATGCATGGACATTTGCGGATTAGCCGCCACTCGAGTCGGTTCTTCGACCGCGCATCATAGATCCAGGTCACTGGGGTGTTCTCCATCTGAGGAAGGTCATGATATGTCTCCAAGACTACAAGAACTACCGTTGCCTTGTTTTCTCCATCGTTGCTGCCTTCGTGACTCTGCAAGACGTACAAGCCCAAGCGGAAACGGAGAGAAGTGAGTCAATCTAATAATTACATTTTATACAAATTTAAACATTCTTTTTGTCGCTAAAAATAACATCCAGTCGATGAACTTGTGCGAAGATGGGCTCCAAAAATATACTTGGCACCGAACGAGATTTTTTTTCCGTTGAGCATCGAAGAATTTTTGGAACATGTTTATCCGGGTGATGACTATGCTAGACCGGTAACCGATGATTGGTCAACAGAGAACAATCATCTGCCGCAAGGAAAGAGTTCCAAATCCCTTTTTCTGCATACTAGAAAAGATATAGGTACAAAGATTTCTACAAAAGTAAAAATATTATAAAACAAGTAAACTAATTAAAATTTTCAGAGACTCTAAGAAATCAATCGTCATTCTTGAATGGAAGGGACCCAAGCAAACATCCCGTTCCATTGTACGTAATCGTAACAAATTGCGATTTATCTTCACGCACTTTCTTCGGCTATTCCAATGATATTTCAACGGACACAAATATCACCGAACCGGATCTCCATTTTCACGTAACGTACTGGCTTTTCTATCCGTACAATGAAGGCAAGGAGGTGTGCTATATGGGAAAAATCCCGGCCCCCATAATATTCAATACCTGCTTTGGAAGGCGGAAGCTGTACGGTGACCACGTCGGGGATTTCGAACATTTGAGTTTATATTTTCGAGGAAAACCATATCCAGACGAGATTTTTCTCTCTGTCCACGACAGCGGCGTTTACTACAAATACAATCCGGTCAAGAAGAAGTTCAAGTACAAACATCAAGTTACGAGGAAAGGCATAGTACAAAGACCCAAATTTCCACCCACGGTTCGTACCTCCAGAGGCCATCCCATACTCTTCTCTGCCAAAGGTTCGCACGGCCTGTGGTCATCTCCAGGTGATCATTATTTCGTTAGAGTTCCAAGGCTCACAGATCAAAACGGGTACGGAGTTGTTTGGAAAACCTGGAAGTATATGAAAATTTTCCATTTGGGTTTCACTCAACCTCCAACGTGGATGAAATATCAAGGCAGATGGGGAAATCCTAAATCCAATTGTCTTCTGGCGAAGAGATTAGGTATATGTCAATTATCCGATGGGCCGATGGGCATCATCAGAGATGTGCAAGATTTCTACTGCGACAAAGAAAAATGATTTATCTAAAAATCTCGAATAAGTATCTAATTGTGATAATATGTGATTATAATTTAAACAAATAAATAACGTTTTTTTTTCGTTACCTTTTATATTTATAATACTTTCCGAAGCGTTAGCCTAGATACAACTTCCTTATTAAAACTGCTTCACCTCCGGCAATTCTATTTCTAATCCTATAACATTTTGTGCTCATTTTGAAGATCGTCGCAATTTTAATTATTTTTAATACATAATTTTCCCCATATAAACTAATGTAATATACGATAATGCGTTCCATTTTGGAGTCATTTATCTTACAATTTATGTTGCTCGTTAAAATAAATTCTCGTTATGTGAGATGCTCGTTAAACAAGTTACCACTATAATAATATTATGTTTAAATTGTTACAGACACAGACTAATATTGAAGACAATCAATTTTACAACATAACATAGATACACACTTTATATAAAATTATTTAGGATCAACCGTAATGAAATGTATCTATATGTTTTTTATATAAAAAGATCTTGGGTATAATTTAGACTTGAATGACATTTTATAAATGTATGTACAAATTATGTTATATTGTAAAATACATAATTTACATTTACGCGCTGTTAGCATGGAACGAATTACTCACGTAAATGGTGGAAACTGTATAATTATTTAATTTACTTTAAATATGCAATTTCCTTCTTTTGAATTCATTAATTATACACGTACTTATTATTACAATAGATAATATCATAAACAAGTTTAATTTTAATAAATGTTATTAAATTTCATCTGAGGAATATTTTTTTTATAATTTGCACAAGACAGTCACCATTGTTAACGTACACAAAATAAATAATGAAATTTCCCAATTCTTTATTGTTAGTTTCATACAATCTAATACACAATAAGTAATAAAACAAATTAAATAGAACGGAAATAATAGCCCTTTGCAGCAGTTAATCATCTTGTTTTATTATTATTGTGTGAAAAAGTTTAATTCTGTTTATTGTTGGAATTAAGGCGGAAAGACTGCGGCTATTAATTTTAAATGTATGCAATTAATTAGAATTATAATTAAATTAAAATAACGGGAGCAAATTTTACAGACAAATAAATATTTATCAAATTTTTAATTAAAAATATATAGATGTTTTTTCAATAGATTTTTTTTATATGTCGTATAATTTTATTCACAATCTGTTCATCAATGTAAACATTGAGTAAATTTAAGATTGCGGTTGACTCCAGTCTATCTTGGTATCTACTACTAAATGTTGCTTTTGTATCCTCGACAATAATTTTGTATAGTATTCCGAGATGCCAAACTTTGTCAAAAGCTTGCGATATGTCTAAAAGTTTTTCGAAAACTGATGATAATATCGGTAGAAGACTTATGGGTCTGTAAGACTTGATGTCTTCGACAGGTTTTCCTGGTTTAGCTATTATTATAATTTGTGCGACTTTCCACTGCGCAGGAAAGTAACCTATACGTAGTATAGTATTAAATATTTGAGTGATCAAAACAATTCCTTTCAATGGGAGTTCTTTCAATAGTTTTCCCCTTATTAAGTAATACCTGGCGTCTTCTTCAATCGAAATAAAAAAATAATGATTTATTTATAAAGTTAATTACAAAATACTATACTCGGACAAGAATACCAAATTAAATACAAACATAGTAAAGTATAAAAACATTATTTTATATACATGGATATTAAAACATTGTAAGTCATTGTAATTTTGTGAAAGATTAATTAATCGCGAAAAATAAAATGGAAAGATACATTTGTAATTTTGTTTAATAAAATATAAATTTAATTTTTACATAATGTTACATTCTTTAAAAATATATTAGTAAAATTAATAGACATATCAATTATAAATATTTGTTCTACGAAGTAGCTTAACTAAAAATATAATGATTAGTTTTGAATTATATAGAACAAGAAGTTTTAGAAGTAATAACCATAATAATGCACACATGCAGATACTTACACACCATTTTTATCACTATATTATTAAATAATTAAATAATCCATGCAAACAATTATTTACAATATTATTTTGGTTTAGAAAATAACAGGTTTTTGTCACTTAATACATACATCAAATGACTATCCAAGCGGAAAGTTTGTATAAAATAGCTGATAAATTAAAGTCATTCGTCAATTTCCGCAAATTTCAAAATGATTTTCCTATACTTATTGGTCATATTTTGTAAGGTATCTACTGGACAAGAGCCGATTGTTGAAATCGAGACCGGAAAATTGCAAGGTACAGTTATGCAAAATTTAAACAACGAGGACTTCTTTGCCTTCATGTCAATTCCTTACGCAAAACCTCCAGTTGGGACACTCAGATTTAAGGTAATAGTTTTAAAATATATTTGATTTAATTAATTATATTTAAATTATCAAACTGAGTTTTTGATATTGGAATTACTACTAAACAAAATATTTATTACAACAGTCATACAAAATTAAATAAGAAAATTTACATATTTATAGGTCTTTCTGTGTAATATTTATCGTATAATTCAGAGTTTCTGAACATATGGGCCACGATCCAAAATTAGATCGCGTTAAATTTTTAATGGGTTTTAATTATCTACGTGTGATGCGAGAAATACTCGCGCGCAAATAGGTTGAGAAATGCTTGTACACATTATCATATCTATGTGATGTTTAGGGTTTAGAACCTGCAGATAATTGGGAAGGTATAAGAGATGCAACAGATTCTCCAACGCCTTGCAGCCAGAATGCTTTTGGTATGATTGTTGGAGAGGAAGATTGCATGTTCCTTAACGTGTATACACGAAATACAAATCCCAAGGAGTTAAAATCAGTCATGGTTTATATGCACGAGGGTAGCTTCTGTTTGGGGTCTTCAAATATTAATACACTTGGTCCTTACAATCTAATGATTGAAGATATAGTATTGGTTACATTTAACTACAGATTAGGAGTGTTGGGTACTACAGTTTCATTGATATTTAATCTTAATGTTATTATATATAATTAATATAATTCTTTAGGTTTTATGAATTTGGAGGGTAGCGACATTGAAGTTAACAGCGGATTGAAGGATCAAACTTTTGCCTTAAAATGGGTCCAGAAGAACATACATAAATTTGGCGGCGACAAGAATTCGGTAACGATTTTTGGAAATAGTGCTGGAGCAGCCAGTGTGAGCCTCCACTTGTTCTCACCAATGTCCGTTGGGCTCTTTCATAAAGCAATTTCTATGAGCGGAAATGCTATGGTGCCGTGGTTGATGGGAGTCAAAAACAGTGGTCTGGAGGTTGCTAAGAACTTGGGAATTACCTCTGAGGATCCAATAATAATTGCCGACGAATTGCGTAAAATACCTTATCAAGAATTCATAAATGTTCAAGAAGAATTAAACTGGGTAAAGTTGGTGATATCCTAAAGAATTCAAGAGAATATTTTAAAATTGTTTCAAGTATGGACAAAATGACGTTGAATGGAATGGTGGCATTATAATTGAAGATACAGGCGAGAGCAGATTCCTAACAGCTAATCCATTAGAGGAGGGATTTGTTTCAAAGGTGCCTTATATGATAGGGTTTAATGATCTTGATGGTGATATCATGGAGTTATTTGAGAATATATTCGGTTCTCCGCACGATTTCTCATTGCAGTCGGATATGCCACGCACATTGGTGCAAGGCGACAAAGCTATTCTCATGGATGTCATAGATGAAGTCAGAAAAGAATACTTTAATGGTACATTGCCGGATAGATATGACTACAATTTCATGGAAATGGCTAAAGACATTACCTTCAAATATCCTACAATCCAGCTGGTTAAGAAGTATGGAAATGTTCAATCAACATATTTGTATGAATTTAGAGCTGACACGACGTTAAATTTATATAAACATTTTCTCATAGGACAGGGAATATACAAAGGTTTTTCATCTGTTCTTTTTTAGTGCTATCAATAATACTTATTTTTAATACAGGGGCAGGACACTCAGACGATCTAGGTTATATATTCAACAATGTACTTACTCCGGATATTGTTTTGAATAGTATCGAGCATAAGATCGTTACGAAATTTGTGAAGCTGTGGACGAACTTTGCCAAGTACGGAAACCCAATTCCCGATGCACCTACACCAGCATTAGATAACGTTGTATGGAAACCTGCCAATTCCAAGGAAATGAATTACCTAATTATTGATAACGATGAACTGAAAGTAGACGTTCTCGATTTGAAGTCCGCTAATTTTTGGGATGGCTTATATAAAAAATACAATAGAAAGTATTGAAAATATAAACAATTTTGAACAAATATCTACTAGTATTTTAGAATATTAATAGTTTATTTGAAAATTGAAGCACGCACATAATTCACACCGTATATTCAAAACATCTCAAGTATCTCGAATAGAATATTAATGTATAAATTACTAATTATTTTGTATTAATCATTTAACACCTTAAATGTTCATCTACTTCATATAGGTAAAGATTAAATAATTCCCAGAGTGTTAAATTCTCTCCAATTATTTTCCTAAATAACTCAATCCTAAACTAAATAAATTGTTACAAAATCCACGAAAAATAGGTTTAAATCTGATTTTTTTTTCAAAAATCACAACAGTATACTGCTTCATTTAAACCGTAATGATCAATAAAATTTGTTATAATTGTCAAGAATATGTCTTTGTACATAATATTTTTATTGATTTAGATATTTGTTAAATAAAAACTTTTTAATAAGAATATTGGTGAAAGATATCGTTTGTAATTTTCAATAATATGCGATATTTACTGGGTATTTCATGTTTAGAATTTTATAAAATGGATAAACGAAAAGAATAGTATGATTAAATTATTCATTATTTTTATAGTCCAACTCAAAGTTAAATTAAAATATGAAATATTCTCATTTGTCGTCGTGTTTTTATTGAGTACTGCATAATTGGTAGCCTAACTAAAAATAATAAACTCAATAAAATATTGTACTAAAATGTAATTAGCTGGAGAAATTATGCATTGAAACAAGCAAAATGAAGTTCGATAATGGAATCATATTCTTCTTTATTTAATGGAAACGTAATAGAAAACTATTTTATCGATTTGTAAAATAAAATATTATGGACAAAATAACTTTATATACATAAAACAATGTATAAGTGTTTTTTCACTTCGGTTTCCGTCATTTTACAAAATAAAACAAGATTTTAATTTAAAAAAAATATATATTTCATAAAGTCAAGTCTCTTTTTGTTCAATATATATGTTTATTGGGGAAACCGATTACCCGGACTGTGCGTGTTATTGCTGTATATTAGAAAAATGTCTATCGATGGAATATCAATTTATATACAAATATTTATAAACTTAGACAAATGTATTTACATTGTTCAAATATTACAAGTTTATTATGTTTGTTGTGTCTACGATGTTGTAAATCGATGTTGACCGTGGCCTAATAATATTTTCACGTAAAATTGAAAGTAAACTTCGGGCAATTAACACGAGCAAGTTTTTCGACGTTAAAAACCCATACAGAGAACAAAGTGCGCGTTCGATGAGCTGAATACTTCTGCTCTTGCCTAATGCACTTGGAATTCAAAGGCATGTTCATATGTTATTCTCATTCGGAATCTTAATCGCTAGGAGGGATCAAATCGCGGATCGTGCGTTGTTTACAAACTGCACAAGAGAATAATCCTCTGTCGTTCTGCAGTGTGTGATGTATTGAACAAACAATGCTAATTAAATCGAGAGGACGCGCAAATTGGCCGAGCTATTGTGTAATAGTCGGAGCGAGGTTTCGATTGCGAGGAATATTTCCGAACGGTATCAAATACAGAAGGAGGAGTAGGAGCGGTCCACAAGGCTGTATACATTTTTTTTTGGATGAAAAAGAGACCAGAGAACTCAGTGCATCGGAAAAATGTGGTTGAAATGTATCGGAGTTGGTTTGGTGGTTTGCGCTATAGAAGCGCAGATGTTCGGAAATTTAATTGAAACTGTGAGGTTGTACAGCGATCCAGTTTTGAGCCCTCCCGAGGCGGATTTCATGTACGAGTATGATTTCATAGTAGTTGGGGCTGGATCCGGAGGATCGGTGGTGGCTAACAGATTGTCGGAGAACTGGAACTGGACTGTTCTGCTCCTGGAAGCGGGGAAGGATGAAAACCTCTTAACTGACGTTCCATTGATGGCAGCTCTGCAGACTTCATCTTCCTACAATTGGGGCTACAAAAGTGAGGTAATGAAAAGTGGATGTTTAGGTCTAATCGGCAAACGATGTAACATCCCCAGAGGAAAGGCCTTAGGGGGGACATCGGTGATGAATTTTATGCTGTACACTAGAGGTAATAAACTAGATTACGATGAGTGGGAGAGTCTAGGTAATAAAGGCTGGAGTTACAAAGACGTGTTCAAATATTTCCTCAAATCAGAAGATTGCAGCAAGTGCGAGTCAATTGATAAAGACTACCATGCGAATGGTGGTTATTTGAAGATACAGCATCCGCAATATAATTCTCCGATACTCAAGAGATTTCTCAAAGCCGGCAGCGAGTTGGGCTACAAAATCTCTGATCCCAACGGCAAAAACCACATAGGTTTTTCGCAAGCGCAAGCGACCATGGTCAATGGAAGAAGGTGCAGTGCAAATAAAGCGTTCTTGAAACCTTTACTGCAAACAAGACCCTTACTTCAGGTGACTACTAGAGCAAGAGTAACTAAAATTTTGATAAATCCGAAAACCAAAAGAGCTTACGGCGTCGAAGTGATAAAAAATCGGATTAAATACGTGATCAGAGCAAGAAAGGAGGTGATTGTATCGGCGGGAACTATTAATTCACCGCATTTATTGATGTTATCCGGAATTGGTCCTAAAGAGGATCTTGAAAAAGTTAATATTAATGTTATCAAGGACGCTAAAGTCGGGCACAATTTGCAAGATCATATGGCCTTTTCGACTCTCGCTTTCTTGGTTAACCAAAGCGTAACGGTTTCGGATGCGAGCGTGCAAAATCCCTCCGATGTGCTCAATTACGTGATCAACGGAAAAGGTCCATTCACCATTCCAGGTGGTTCTCTTGGCTTAGCATTTATTCAGACTAAATATGCCAAGAAGAAGGATTATCCAGACATGGAGCTGGTTTTAGGCGCTGGTGCACTGAACCAAGATACTTTTGGTACAATGAGGGCTTTACTCGGAATTCCAGACAGTTTCAATGAAAGAGTATACGTGCCAATCACAGGACGACCGGCCTTTGCCATTGCCACGGTGTTGATGCGGCCCAAGAGTCGTGGTAAAATTCAGCTAAAAGACAACAATCCACTCCACTGGCCGAAGATCATACCCAATTATTTTCAAAACGAAGATGATGTCAAGGTCATGGTTGAGGGCATCAAAGCAGTAAGTGTTTTTACTTTACAGAAATATATGGTGCAATTATCTTATGCAACGCGCATATCATTAATAGAAAATTACTAAATTTTTGTTTGAAGGTTAAAAACCGCACCAGATATTCTTGCATAACTATTATTCTTTCAAATGCTGAAACAGACAAATGAATTATTTAAATATTTTTTAAAATTGTTAAAAATAAAAAATAAATTGAAATCTTTCTTAAGTTAAGCAACGTGTTTCGTATAGTATTTGGAAACATATGCGATATTATTTTTCAAATTTAGAGAAATAAAATAATAATACGTATACTAGTGAATCACACATATTTACACATTACACACATCTGAAATTCGTTTATTAAAATTGCGCATTTTGGATACTTTGCCTAATATAACCTTATTTATTTTATAGTAATAAAAAGTATAAGAATTAGTTATTATTTCAAATTCTTGATATTAGTCTTGATGATATATAGGTCTATCTATTAATATTATTGGATTTTATTACATAATATATCATTATTTTTATTCTTACACTACATAATTTTCACAAATGTTGTTCTTCAATACTTTATTTATATTGTTACAAACAGAATCCGCAATTGCTTTATTAATTTTAAATATTTACTAAGTTTTAGAGAAAAATAGATAATTAATTTTATCTGAAATATTGCAGGCCGTCGCAGTTTCTAGGACACGAGCGTTCGCAGATTTGGGTACCAGACTTCACGACATTCCATTCCCAGGTTGCGAAAAGTTGCGTTTCGAAAGTGACGAGTACTGGAGCTGCGCCGTGCGACAAGTCTCTACCACTCTGGGCCATCATGTAGGCACCTGCAAAATGGGTCCAGACAATCACCCGGATGCTGTGGTGGACCAACGGTTAAGGGTCAAAGGGATTCAAGGGCTCAGGGTTGTCGACGGATCGGTAATGCCAAACATCGTTGCCGGACACACAAACTCGGTGATCATGATGATTGCCGAAAAAGCATCGGACATGATCAAAGAAGACTGGCGACGTTGAAGGGAGAACTCGACGGTGATATACGGTGAATACCTATTTAGTTAACCCAAAAAGAACAAGAGACGCAACAGTGCGAGATACTTCAAACGAGACCGGTTCTGAAAGTGCAGCCGGCATTGACCTATTGCATTACTTAATAATTATATGTGATTTCTACAATAAAACAAAGTATTATTTCTTTCTTTTGCGACGTTTTCTTATTTTCCTCTTCTTGTATCATGTGTCGTGTGCGTCTCCAAGGGCTTCGCTGCGGTAGACCAATCGATACACAATAACAAGTGCCCTTTTTTAGCTTTCGGTTTACATTTGTGCGCCGAACTCAATATCACATCGATCAAACAACACCCATTCAGCACATATGTTGTTTTCTTCTATTCTCTCTTACGTCGACCTACCTATTGCCAAACAATCCGGTCACTATCTTGAAGAGCCCAAAGGCACGCAATGGTTCCGCGGAATGCTTGCGTGTTTATCGTCATCGGATGTTTTATTTCCATCGTCGGAGCACAGATCTACGACTTTGGACAACCGGAAGAATACAATGAGCCCGGCCATGGTAGCAACAAAAAGTTATACAAACTCGGTAAGATCGTATTGATTCACCGGCAGTTATATCACAAAAAAAGGAACTGTTCTTGACTACTCACTTCCAAGGCTATTTTGCCCTTGATTTTTTTTAAGCTATTTCTAAATTATCCAATTACCTACACGCATATAACACATGCATTCAAAGTGTCGAGGTCATTACCCATGAATGCATTACCATGTTTTACTTTATTTTATATTTCAAATTCCAAAAATTATTTATAATACATAATTTAAACGAAAATACTTCAGTCGATAGCTCTTTGGTTTTTTGTTTGTTGCATCAAAATAAGTTGGTTTTAGTTAGTTTAGACATTAGATCTTTCATAAATGACTATAGTAGAAACATTTATCTATTTTATTTCATTTCATTATTATTTACAAAATTTATTTGACCATTACGATTTTTTTTACCATAATTCTTTATTATTCCATATTATTTAATATGAATAATAACATTTGGAAATCATTCAGGTGAATTTGTTTCTTAGGTGAATTTAACGATAAATGCAGATCGACTCGAGATTGTCGTCACTTTGGTTACGTCTGCAGAGACAACAGAACATGTCAATGCGATTTTCTATACATACCGGATTCCGAAAGGAAAACTTGCGTCGGAGGTACAATTTCCTTGAATATCTTTAAGATATTTAAATATTTTCGTCATTACTAATTTATTTTCAGGCGTCAATCAACGATGCATCTACGATGAGCATTGTATCGAGGGGGCTTTCTGTATGAACCAAGCCATTTGCAAGTGTAAGGACAATAACCCAATCGAACTAGAGGATGGCTTAGTTTGCGCTGGTAAATGGACACGTTATTGTTTTCCTTTAGATATTTCATATTTAAATTTTAGGTTGTGCTTCTATACTGCCATGTTTCTTACTGCTACTTATTTCTCTATTTGCATTATGATAGAACTCACAAAAATAAAACAAATGTAAATAAACAGAGGCAAACAACACACTGGATAACATAATATCTTAGAGAAATTTTACTCGATCGATGCATATTCTATTTAAATAAAAATTATATGTAATTAATTATAGTTAACAAAGTATTATGGTAAAATTTGTTTGTGGAAAACTGTTTATTTAAACTAAAAAAGTAATTATTTAATCTTTCATGAAAGCCTGTTCTGCAAACAGTCTGAATAAATTGTTTTTTTTTTGTTAAATTAATATTTATAATACTTATATGTAAATAATGTGTGCGTCAAAAAAGGATGCAATTCAAAGTTTGGTTAGGTCATCTAACCAGCAGATTTTTTATTATGGTAAAAAAAATATCTTCATAAAATAATTGTACACTACTAATACCATTCAGCTATTTTTTATGTATATTTTTAATAACTTTTAGTCTACCTTGTTCGATGAGTTTCAAAATTTATGTTTTTGATATTGTATTTCATTTAAGTATAAAAAATGATGAGTTCTGAATTCAGTTAGTAAATAATGTATGAGGTTAATAACAAGAATTGCATGGACCTATCAATTTATTAATAAATCTATTTAATAAGTTAGGAATCAATGTAAGGCACACAAATGTTCGACTAATTGCTATATTTTAGTTAATTAAAAATACCGCAATGATGATTATCAGTCCGAAGAAATGGAGCGTGTTGTATTGAGCGCTGTTCAATTTGGCGCAACCTTTGTTAGGATCGGTGCCCGATTTGCAAGAACACACCCCGTTTGTGCACTCAACAACGTCCTCCAACTTTGGTTCAACAATGCACTCGCGATAATTATTGCACGGTTCGCCAAGATATCTGCTCTTGAAACAGCGATTCCCGAACACGTGAAAACTCGCCTCGCATACGCACTTGTTTTCGTAGCAAAAACTGTTTTCTAATATATGCGTGCACTGGCTAAGCTGCTTACAAGAATCGGGAACTCCTAACTCGACAGCGGCTGAAAACGTTAAAGATCATTATCGATATTCAAGTTATCGATTGATTCACCTTTGAGGCATATTTCCTGATTGTCGGCAATCACATAATCGATTTTGCATTTGCATACGCCTCTACAGACTGCGTTCAGATGGATGCAAGAGTCGTCCTCCAAACAATTCGCTCCCAAACGTGCAGACTTTACGCATCTGCCGTCTACTATGTGTTCGTTCAGTCCGCAGGTGCATTTTCCGTACGAGCAATAGACCTGTTCATTGTCTTTCGATAAACAGTTGTAGTGATCTACGCAAATACCATCCAAACCTACAAACGAAGTATGTTAAAAGTTATTGAGAAATTTGATTATTGAAGCATTGAATTACGCGAGGTGTTATAACAAGCCTCCTGTTCTTCGACGTAATGAGCGCTGCTGAGGCATTCGCAGATAAAATCCTCATTGCATTGCGAATCCAAACCTAAATTCAATTCGCATTGCTCATCCTTCACACATTTCTCACCTAATTTGGCATCTGAAATAACAAATGACATTTAGTGTACGAGGAAAAAAATAGTATCAATAATCATAAAATATTATTATAATCTTGTTTTTGAAACTTTATTCAATATTTCAAATAAATTTCTCATTAATATATATATATATGTATCAAGACTCAAATTTTAAAAAATAAACCATTAAAATTGCAGATAATTGATTAATAAATATTATTATACAGTGAATCCTCAATTAACGCATAATGAGTAATTCGCTTAACGATCAAAATAAATTATAACAAAAACTATCTCATAACGATATGTCCCGGATTGTGCGCCTGCTACATCATTTTCCAAATTTGGGTTCAAACATTTTATGTGTGATTTTTTTTATGTAAAGTTTAAAATATCTTTGACATTACACATCATTTTTCGTCATAAATTTATATTGAAAACAATGTTTCACATTAAGAGTAAACGTCTGGAACGGATTATGCTTGCTAAGCGAGGTCCCACTGTATTTATTTTATAATTTATAAAGTATTTTGATTTATAAATTGAAATCATTTTAAAAAAGTTTAGTTTTAATTTACATTTATTAAATGTAATCAAATTATTTAAATAATGCATACTATAATTTTTCATATCTATTAGTATAAACTAAGAAGTATGAATTCAATTTGAGACTTACCTCGCACGCACATGTAATTGGAAGGGTTGATTAGAAAGTAGTCTTGTATGCATTTACAAACTCCAATTTTGTTGTTATCCCTACCATAACAGAAACTGTTCTCTTTGCAACCGCTATCATTTAGGCATTCCTGATTGGAGATCACTGAAAATCGATATAGCATAAGAACGAGTCTTACTACACACAAAACATTATATTCATACCTATTCGTTCCAACTTACGCAATCGCGCACTACTGACACTCACTACAAACAACATACAGCACCAAACCACCGTTTTCATCTTAGTCAGTTTATTGTTTTAATGGATTAGAGGGATTTAAATTTAATTTAAATAAACCTGGACCGCAGTTGCACCGTTTATGAGTAACGAATGTGCCACAAACTTAATTATTATCAGTGTGTCATTCGAATTACATTTTATCGCGCTTCGTTCAAACACAATAGGGAAGAGAAATCCGCACCTAGAAATTGGAAAAGTATTTAGTCTCTATCCGTCCGCGAGGCAATACTCAAACAACGTCGATACGGACAGATAAGATAATGGAGTTCTATTTTACTCGCGATGTATACAAAAGTAGTTGACTTGCTCGTAACATTTGCATTCAACTACGAAACGCGTAGGTTCCACATCCAAAGTTACGGGTACTCTTTATTCTGAGTTGCTAAGCACTCGCACGCAACTTACCAAAGGGCATGTGGCATTGCGTGACTTACTAAGAAAATTAAGCATAAAACGTTAAATATTAATAACATCTACGTAAAACATACACAAGTATAATCTTAAACTAAATAATTATAACTATTTTTAGTGCTTTTCAAACTTAAGAAACCACCACTGCATTCAGTACTTTTCATAAACATTAGTTTAAAAAACCTCTTTAAGAAAATTGAATAAAACAGAATATAATTTCATGAAGGTATTGTGAGAAGCTAAAAATGAAAGCAAATGCTTAATCTTTTCCAATTTATTGTTTCGAACAAAGAAAAGAAACAAAACACAATGTTTAATATGTACAGAGAGATTAATTAAATATAAACACCGTGACTAATGATTGGAACCATGGATGTCGTGATTACGAGCGCCACGAATGAGCAATATTACATATTTTTAAGTATTAGTGTTCACAATCAATCAGGATAGTTTAAACACGGCAGAAACGGGCGACCATCCATACAACAATGGCCAGAGCCCAGGATAGGTGGCTTCTATTCGCTCCTGTATTATAACATTTATTAGTTTATTGCAAATTAGAATCATTACTTTACTCACCGGATACACAGAAATGATCTACCTGTTCATAGGGTGCTTTACATTTGCATTCGCCCAAAATGCACTCCAACCTCGACGGTTCTGGCCCCGGCTGATGACACTCTCCGTTTTCCTTACAAATATTGCCCAGCACTGGAAAAGTAAAAATTCTGTTAATGCTTGGATATGCGTATACAATGAAAACATTACATAAATCTTTGACACATTTGTTGTTAGCAGCTTTGAATTGGAAAAGATCGTAACAGTTGCAAAAGCCCTGAAGGCACTGCGAACCGGAGCCCAACGTCTCGGTGCACTGGATATCCTCTACGCATGGCGAGAGAAATGTCTTCGACTGCAGAAGACATCTCTGGTCGCTTCTCACATATCTTTGGATACAACTACAAACATTATCAACACATTCACTATACTCGACAGTACATTCATTCGACTCGTGGCAAGATTCTCCCAACGCTAAAACACAACAGAAATATCAATCAATACATTTTTTGTTTAAGAATAAATTTCCATTAAATATAAATTGTAACTACAATAAAATGAACACAATTTAAAACCCAATATTTTCGATTCGTCTTATATTAATTTAGAGATATATCAATATTTAATTATTTATTTAATTGAAAATAATTCTCTTTTAGTTGTTAATTTTAATTTCTGGAGATTTTCAAATAAAACTAATAGAAATATAATTATAATTCTGTCACCTACTCTTATTGGCAATACACTGCTTCCCAACCAAATGCAAGTTATCATGACATATGCACATGCCATTGTAACAAATTGAATTAGTCACGTTGGCGGAACATTGAGAATCTTCTAAGCAAACCGATCCGACTCCTTGCGAAACTGCAAATTACAATAGCAATGAGTAAATAAAAGAATATTTGCCAGCGCCATCAACTCCGAAAACGTGCTCACTCTTCAGGCATTTTTTTCCTTTGGACGCGGCGATCATTCCTTTTTTGCAAACGCACTTGTTCTGCAGACAGTACGAATCCAGGACGCTGCAATCCTTCAGCTTCCTGCAGGACTCTCCGATTCTCGTGACAATGACCGATTCATGATCGTAGTCACAGTTGGGGCATTCGCAAACTTTATTAATGCACTTCGCATCAATTGAAAGATGATCGCAGTCCTCGTCGCCTATACATGGTGCCAATACATTTTCCCCTGGAAACGTAAAATTTAATTATGAAACACAAATAAATTAAAATACAATTGAATCGTAGGTAACTCACTGAATTCCATACAGGATGTATCGGCAATAAAAACAAACGTTAAAATTAAAATCTCCTTCATACTTGGTTGCTTGTAATGTACTGCAACGGAGATAAACTTCGAACTCTCGAAAATGACTGAAGATAACTTTTTATTCGCAATTTCATTTCTTTTTATTTCTTCTCTTCCTTATTTCCTCGATTTGTTTACGGATTGTTAATCGATTTAAATATGCGGTTTGCATTATATACAGTAAATGTCACATAAATAATATTCAGTAATATAATATACATTATTGCAGTTGTAATATCGCATAGTCGATTTGATGCGATTAATATAATTTTGATATATATATATATATTTTTATTTTGTTAATGAGAAAATATTATGAATATAATTATTATTTATATTCAAAAATAATTAAATGCCTGTGTATTCCACATACAATAAGATTATAATTAAATTCAGTTCCTTTAAAAAAATGCAAACAAACATTGATTATTTTATATAGCTCCATAATTAATAATGTGTAATAACCAACTTAATACTTTTGTTTCATTTAGTTCTATTATAGCAATGATAGTGATAAAATATATATGTCTTCTTCACCGGAGAAGCATAATTAATAAAAGAAAATCTTCTTCTATTTTTATAAGGCTTTCAATTGCTCTGGTGTACAAAGTTGTGTCTATCGACAAAACTTTGTCAGCCTAAAGTTAGTGTACTTTCTGATCTGACGGGTTCTGCAGATACAAAGATAAGACAAGTGTGTTTCGGCGGTAGATGTAGAATATAGTTAAATACTACATTTGTTAAGTACAACAATAAGGGCTCTTCAAACACTTGGGATTACCTCTGTTATCAGCGAATTTAGGGATATGGTCGGTGGGATATAGATATTAATGAGTCTCCGGTATAGAATCGTGATTTGTTACGGATTTAGGTGGGCATTGTAGCAAGATGTGATCGTTTGTTTAAAAGAAAATCAAAATACAAAGTGTATGTAATGTGTGTAACAATCCGCACAGCCAAGTAAAAGCGGTTGTATAACTATAGTAAAATGTCATGAAAAGTGTTGTAAAAGAATGTAACGTATAAAAACAAAAATATTTTCATTTTTCAAGTAAAATGAGTACGTACGAAATAAGTAAATCTTCTGTAAGTATAGGTTATTTAAATATATCAACATAATTTTATTAAGCAGTGTTTATCAATATAAGGTTATGTTATGTGTTATTGTTTGCAGCTTCTGAGTTTAAAAGCTGAAGTCCTAAAAAAACGGGAAGAGGTTAATAACTCCAAACAGGAGAATTCAATCAAGTTGCTCAAATGTATGCAAAAAGGAAAATTGGAGTTAAAGAAGAAAGCATCGGAGCAGAGCAAGGCTCCTGAGATAACTGAGGAGGAGTCAAATCTTCTAAAGCAATCTAAGTAATTTGTTATGCTTATAATAATTTGTTGTAATCTCTAATTATTTGGTTTTTCTATTGGAGACTCTGTGAAAGTCACTTAAAGTTTTACTTGATTTCAGGTCGGCATTGGAAAATAAAGCCAAATTATATGATAAATTGAGTAAGGGTTCAAAGAATGATGAGGAGAAAGAAATAAATCGTAAATATCTAGTGGAGTTTGATAAAAAAATCAATAAAGGCAGAGATGATGATTCCGATGATGAGAGGAACAGATATTCAGAGAGTGAAGATGATGTTAATGAAGACAGTTACAGAGCAGATAACTCAGATGATGAATGGTTTGTAATTATATTTGCAAAATTATTACAGTATTGTTAATATTTAATGTTACTAGGGTGGAGTATGTCGATTGTTTGGGTAGGACCAGAACATGCTTGAGAAAAGATCTTTCAGTAATCAAAGAAAAAGATAAGAGCTTGAGGAGTACAGTTGAGAAAAGAGAATCTCGTGAAGAGATTAGAAATAATTATGAAAAGGAATCTGATGAAAAATCAGAGGATGAGGATGAGATACCCAGTGAGGATTTCAAGGATGACAGTGAAATGTTATCTAGCGATATGCAGCGCGAACTGCAACGCAGAAAGTGGGAAAAGGAAGAGGACGATTTGCAGCATAAATCCGACGTGCATTATCAAGATGTCCTGTTCAATGGTAATTGAGTTTTTAGGTTCTTTGTAATATTAATCAAATGATTGTAGAGGCCAGAACGCACGGTGTTGGATATTATGGTTTCTCCAAAGACGAGGAGGAGAGAGCAAGGCAACAAGAATCATTGAACAATCTGCGAAAGGAAACGCAGCATAAGCAGAAAACTGCTCAAGAAGTAAAGAAGAATCGTGAAAAGCAGATGAAAACTAGGATATTGGCAGCCACGAACAGGAAGAGGGTGCGCGAAGGATTACCTCCATTAACAGAACTCGAAGAAGGTATTTTGAATATTCATCAAATTGTGTTATATATTAAAATTATGTTTTTAGAAAATCCAACTAAAGTTGAACCTATTGAACCGGAGAAACCGAAGTTATCGCATAAAGACGAGGAAAATGAGAAGAAACGAGAGGATAAGAGGAAGAAGCACGTGAGGCCCTGGGATATTGGTAAAGATGGTGTGAAAGAACACGTGGAATATTCTCAAGAAGAATGGGTGGATAAGCAGAGAAAGAACAGAGATGAGGAATTTGCTCCGCCTTCATGTTACACTCATGATAAATATAGTGCCAAAATTGAGCCCAAGAAGAAACTAAATCCGTATTTGAGTAATTCTAAACAGGAAAGTAGACCTATCCAAAACGAGTTGAGCGAGGATAGCAGCGAAGACGAAGATAGGTTGATGTCAGATTTTTATAGAGTTCAAAAAGGTGCGGCTATTCCACCTCCGTCCACTTTTGACTATTACGGTCCAAGCAGCAAGAAACAAGCCAAGTTTGATAAAAATGACTCTGACATGGAAGATTCAATTATGCAGGGATTAAAGTATATTAGGAATAAGGTCGAAAAAAAGAAGTATTAATTAAAAAATTTAATAGATGCTTGATTTAATTCTGAATTTGCTGTGATTCCTCTACATGTTTGTACAATACATAATATATTAAATATAAACCTTGACACTTGATGTATTTTATTAAATTAGGTTGGACCAAGGTAGTTTCTGTGCATGTTTTGTGTTTATACAACAAATATTATGAAATTTATAAAAGTTTTTAATCTTTTGCTTAAAAATGTGATAAGAGATTATGACATAAATATGATATGTCGCAAAAACTAAACTTTTCAACAGATCATTATTTTGAATAATTTATTTCTGCATTAAATATTCATATTATATGTCTCAAATGATAATGTTTTAAATATATGTAGTTAACTTTTTAGAGATTTCAAATCAAATTGCAAACAATATATACAGCAACAATCATCCAACTTTGTAGTGGAATCTTTTTAAAATGAAATATAGAATTTGAAGTTGTTTATTCTACAGTTGTACTTGTAATGAAACAATTAAAATCCTCAGTTTTAACCGAAAAGTTCATCTTTTTGTTATATGCGCTATTGAAAAAAATGAGAATTATCAAAAAAATCGTTGTGATATTAGAATCAGAGTCAATTTTAATATTATTTTAAAAATATTTAGCCGGATCATCTACATTATAAAATTTATAATTAAATTCTAAAGAGATTATCGAGTGTAGATGAACTCCTTTTGCACAAAAAATCGTTGGTGACCTTAATATATTGCTATTATTGATATAGTTATTCAAATTTCTGATAAAATAGTTATAATGCATCAAACTAAACAATAGCCATTAGATGGTGTTAATTCGCTTTTGTTCTTATGTTTTAATAGACTTATAATTTTAACTAGAAGATCAAATTAAAAGATCAATTAAAACTTGTGTATTGCTTTTAATATTAATGTGACAGATAATGAAAGTATGCAACTTGACGATCATCTAACGGTTAAAAATTTACAGTTTATTCCTATAACTTTGACACAAAAGATATAAGTAAATATTAAAAAAATAACATTAATATAATACATATGTATTACAGTAATCGACTTTAAAAAACAATATGTTTAATATAATTATATAGACCAAACATGATTGCCTTATTTTAATAGCATAAACCAATAAATCCTATTTTCTAAATGTGTCTGTATGTAAGATTGTATTATTAAAGTAAGTTACTAAATATTAACACACTTAAGTAACTAAATTCAAATTTTAAAATTTTGTGTCGCAAAAAAATCCCTAGATTGTAGGGTGTTTTAGGTTGTGGTAACATTGCATAGGAAGTCTGACGCCGACATATTTCTTTTTATACTTGTCTCTGTCCTGTGCTGCACGTGGGAATATAAACCTGGTAAAAATTTGTTGATTTCTCGTAAAATATTGGTCCAAAATTATTTTCTCGTTGTTTACGATGTTCTGTGTCCATACGGGCCATCGTTTGTGAAGAATTTAATTCGATAAGACCAGAATTTTGCAAAATTTCTAACCTCGAATCTTCTTGTATTTACAGAAAACATGGTTGCTCTAAAGAAGCAGAAGAAGGCTATTGAGAGCATCAACAGCAAGTTGGCTCTGGTTATGAAATCCGGCAAATATTGCTTAGGATACAAACAGACGCTGAAAGTAAGTACTTTTTGTTATTTTTGTAAGCACAATATTAATGGTCTCCACTTGTATTTAAAGCATTGATAAACACTTGTTTTACCTATGCTAATGCATGCATGTAGCATAAACAAGTCAAGCCACTATTTATTATTATTATTACTAATTCTTTATTTTCTTTTCTTTTAGACTCTCAGACAAGGCAAGGCTAAGTTGATCATAATTGCCAACAACACACCACCACTAAGGAAATGTGAAATAGAATATTATGCTATGCTGGCCAAGACCGGAGTCCACCACTACACTGGTAATAATATTGAGTTGGGAACCGCCTGCGGTAAATACTACAGGGTTTGTGTAATGTCCATTACGGATCCTGGAGATTCAGACATTATCCGTTCCATGCCAGCTGGAGACCTTCTCCCAACGGCCCAATAAGGATGATTACAATAAGTTTATTATGTATAAATTTTAAAATAACTGTTGTTAGTTTATATATTGACAAAAGAATGGACAAATAGAAATTGACAATGGTAACCATTTGATTTTATTAAACCTTATCTTTTTCCTTTTTTTAAATTAATGGTCAAGGTAAGTGAACCTTGATCACTATATTTTTGTAAATTTAAATTAGATATTTTTTTTGCACTGAAACATGGAAACCTAAGTTTTGAGAAAATATATACAACCAATATCTTGAAAAACGAGTGTCGAGCGTTGTTTTAAGGTGACTGAAGGAACAAATCGCATCTCAGAGAATTTCAGAAATAATTCTTCCATATCGTTATCTTCCTCAATATGATCGAAAGTAAGTAACCCCTATGCATGGAAGAAGCTTTGACTGAAGTGCGTTGTCGAATGTTATGGTCAAATGTTACTAAGAGGTTTGAGACTGAATGCGTGGAGCCTGTAGTTAACGAGTTGGTGTCTTTAGCCAAGATCATGAGGCTGGAGTTCGATAACAATGACATTAATAAGATTAGAACAGTAAGAGGCTTAAACTTTTTAAATTGCAAAAAAGCACAGCCAATAGCTGACCAACAAAGAGCTAATGGAGTTGCATTGTTTTTCATAGCAAGAGTTTGTCAGAGGAGGAGGTAACAACAAAACGTAAACTTTTGTGGCTATGGGCGCTTCAAATTTATTTATGGATAATCGCGTTTGAACCAAATTTTGAGGCTTCTTCAAAAACAAATGTCTAGACAGCTTTCTAGTAAAAAATTAGATATATCGTAAAAAATAAACTAATTATTTCGATTGTTTTATTTTCTGCAAATCGAATTCGCATTCCAGATTGGTTCATTCCGCAATAGAAGAAAATATGTAGTTGATTACTGCTCATTAACAATGTATATATATTTTAATTTGCATAAACTTTATACATAAAAATGTTGAGTAATTGTTTCGCATGACGAATAAGATTCTGGAACGAATTAAGCTCATTATGCGAGATTCCACTTCCAATTCTATGCAACACTACGTTCGTTTATAAAGTTAAAATTTATTAAAAAAAGAAAGATAATAACATTAACTTCGAAGATTCCAACAAACAAATGAGAACAAGAAAATTATAGGTGTACAAAAAAAAATTTAAAGCAGTATATAAATAACAAACAATTTATTTGTTAATGAATAGAATAACGTGTATGCTTTTGTTATTACAATAGTACAACAAATGTAGTTATTGAAAATATTAAGTTTCGAATTTTAATATCGCTGTTATGTGCTTATTAATATTTATTTAAAGAGAATATGTCTAATTAAAAGTTATTTGAAAAAGTAGTTTTAACTCATATTGAGGGATATGTCATTGTCTCTATTACACGAAGATTGTACGTTAAAAGTAAAATATTCTAACATAGCATTAACTGAATTAAGTAACCCCAGTGAAATAACTTGACTTTTTAGCAATATCTTGAATAATAAAATAATAAAGGAGAAAAAAAGATGTGACTGGTGAAGCAGTGCAAAAGACACTAACCAAATTAAAGGATAGGAATGAAAGAAGAAATTAATATTTTGTTTTTTATGTAAAATATTCTATTCTGTTTAATTTTCCCCAACATTCCCAAACATTTTTGGTTTGCGACGCCCTTAATATATCAGATTTTTTCTCGGCGCCCATATTCACAACATAGGTCTATGTTAGAGCGAACTTTACGTTAATATATCAGAATGTTCGCGGCGCTATTATAGTATAATTACGGCGCCCCGGCGCAATTTGAGAACCACAGTTTTAAATTATAAATATAATAAACTTAAATTATCAATTATTTTGAACTTAAAAAAAATAGTTTTTCTTTAATAAATTCATTTTTTTATATAATTTCTTTAATTGATACTTATTGATTCACATAAATATTGGTATAAAGGTTATAGAAAAAAAACACAATAGTCGTTCTTTTACAAAATATTATTTTTCTTATACAACTTTTCATCTCCGCCTCGGCCAATTCATATTTATATATTTTCTTAAGTAACAAGTGTGTAACGTCAAGTGCGCAAGTCAATCGTCATCTGCGCGCAAAAATTAACCTACGTGAACATAAAAAAAATAATCATGTGTAATCATCATAAAATCATCAACTCGCACAATCTTTCAAAGAAAATTCGTTACCGAACATGCTCACATTCTCGCCTGAAAATTTTCTTCCTTTTGACAAACAAAATTGAATACAATATATTATAATATTCCTATTATTATTATTACATATGACTTCCTTCTTTCGTTTGCAAACGCGGACAGAATCAACAAAATATATCTGTTTTTTAAAATCACAATTCCACTGGTTGCTGCTATCGATCAATTTAGCAAACGATTCGTTGGATGCAATGCAGTAAAAGATGGATCAGAAAAGACGATAAAATAAAACAATAAAACTAAATTAAATAATAGACCATTTTCCCCGTCCACACACGCGAATATATATATATATATATTATACATCGATTATGAACAAAATTCGAAAATTGTGTTTAATATTAATATTACTCGTTTGTTGTTGTTTTTTCAACTATTCTTTACATATTGAGGGAAAACAAAAAAACATACAGTATTTGCTTTTAGCTTTAGTAGCACAAGTGATAATGATTTTCAAGTTGGTGGAAATTGATTTATTAAGTCCGTTCACTATACACAAAACGCACGATCGCCATTCGGGAATTGTTATCGCGATGTGATCGATAGACTCCTTCTGGGAGCATCCCCGGACCCCTTCTCGCCCAGCCGTTGGTGGGATGGAATCTTGTCGAAGAACGGATGGGACATCGCCTCGCGCAAAGTTATACGCTGCGAGGGCTCATACTCTAACATCCGCAATATCAAATCAAAAAGTTGACCGTGCTCGGAATCATCACTCTGTTTGTACCTCTGTAAATCGAACAAGAATACACGAATAACTATGTTATTACCACCAAGATACATTTTTTATGTTATGCAAACATACCAACAAAGGTTTGCAATTATCCCTGATGAATCTGCCGGCCGAACTTTTTTCGTCCCACTCCAACTTCCCACGATAAAAGTATTTCGTCTTCGTTTTTCTGGCCATCCTAAACACACAAAAACCAATGCATATTATTTTGACACAAAATCTACAATATACAAACTTATTACTTTAAACGATATTTGAACATACCAACATTAACTGAGAATTAAATGTATGAAAAAATATCGCTTTGACATAATAGATGTAATAAATTAGTTACCTGACTGGAATTTCGCCTAAAATTCTTTGCATCATCGCCAAATGTTCTCTATTATCGTGCGTCTGGAACAGGGTAATGCCCAAATAGAGCTCGAACAGGATGCATCCCACGGACCAAACGTCGCAGGGCTGGGCCCAACCCAACTCAAGAATCACCTCTGGCGCCCTGTAATGTCTTGTAGACACAATCGTCGAGTGGTGTTCATGATCGAATGTTGCGCTTCCGAAATCTATCAACCTCACGTCAGTTCTTTTCACGCGTTTCACGTCTCTCCGCTGCAATAAATCAAAACAATCATGAAGAAGTATAACTCAACGTAAACATCTATAGATATTTTACCTTTTTACTATTATACACGACATCGTAATCAGAATCTAGGAACAAGATGTTTTCAGGCTTCAAATCTGTGTGTGTCAAGTTATTGTCGTGCAGGAATTTCACCGAGAAACATAGCTGGTATCCGATGTGTCGCACGTGGTCCACTGGGTACGGTTGGTATCCGTTATCCTTCTGCATAAGTCGACAGTAAACATAAATTTAGTAATTTAGCAAACAACGGGCCAATAAAAATAAACAACAAATAAAGACGAAAATCATTGCCTAACTGGTCCTCTGCTGTGCTTCAAAAGCAAATTTCAAACGGCACTTATAAATAGCCTATATATTCACACATACACCGAGACGACACTGCGTCTAATATTAGCAGTATATCACACCAACATAAATCAGAAATTGGTTCAAGGCTTGGAATTTCGAAAGAAATTCCAACAATGATACATACTAAAATTAGTTCTTTTTTACTTCTTTATTAATATTAATTAAAATATTAAGTTTGCAAGTTCAAAATGAAACCGAGCAATTAAGTCAGTAGAGTATTACCAAGTACAGAAGCATAACTATATTCAGATATTGAAATATTTGCTTCGATTTTACTTTCATCTAAAGTTACAACTATGTTTACTTTGAGCTTAGAGGTAACAGTTACAAGTGCGTGTTTACCATTAAGTTGTATTTAAATCATTCTACTGAAATCCGAGTACCTTTCATCCAATATAGTACAATCCACTGAATTATGCAAGAAATTAGTATTAAAAAGTTGTAAATTGTACAAAACCGTTTAGTAATGCAGTAACTTATTGAAACAGTAATTTCAATATCAAATAAACCCCATTAAACACTTTACAAATATATAACAATATTTTAAGTTGATTTATATTATACAATGTAACATTTTTTTTAAATTTCATTATAATTTTTATGTTATGAGAACTTATCTTAATAAAACATGACAATAGTTGCTTGTACTTACCAGAAAATCAAATACACTAAGTCCCAGCATTTCAAATCCTATACACATGTGTCCATGATAGTCGAACCAGTCCAGCATCCTGACACATAAGCTGTAAAATAATTAATGTTATAATTATACTAATACGTAGTTTTATAACGTATGCAAAAGGTAATTAATTTATTGAACGATCAAAGAACGTACTGGACACAATCGGGATCCTTGTCGGCGATCTTCTCCAGCACGTTAATTTCCAATTTGGCAGCTTCCCTATACTTCTCTACGTTCTTTATAATCTTCAAGGCCATGGAATGGTCCCTGCAAACAAATATAGATGCGATCAATGGACTTTGCATTGGCGATACGCATGTTTTAAGGGGTAAATGCATGCATGCATCCATGCGCCGGGAAGTGAATAAAGTTGCAATGCCGTTGCTATCGCATGTCTACTCACATTTCCAAGTCCTTCACTTTGACTACCTTGCCAAAAGTTCCTTCGCCGAGGGTGCCAAGAATCTTATCTGCAATTGAACGCATTCAAATTAATTTTATCTGCCCCTTAGATTGCATCCCCTCACTCGGGCTACGTCACTTCATCCGGGTACAAATAACTTGACTTTGGGAAGGCATTTGTGAATCTCGGGCAACGAAAAGAGCGTCATCCGAGAGCAAGTTATTTCATCGGATGCATAAAGTAGCCAATGGCAAGTGGGTGGGACACACTTACATTTTTCTTATTATTTATTTTATAAGATTTCTTCTTTTTTTTGTTGATATAAATAAATAAAGAAAAAAAAAGTATAAATATAATTTGGCATGCAAAAGTATTTTTTTCGCTTTTTTTACTTGATATTTATAAAATTAAATATAAATCACAGAATGACGTTAAAACTAATACAAACAAAAATAAAATAAATTCCAATTTAGTGATTTATAGTTACTTTCATTAAAATAAAATAGTAAAAATGAAAGAAAAAAATAATTTTATACTTCTGGACAGGAATATTGGGAGAGATTATTATTACTTTTTTTAATAGATCTTATCCAATTTTATCATTTTGTTTCTATACTTGTTTGATTGGTTTTTTTGTTTAACTTTTTTAACTGACTTTGGTTTTAGATATACATATATCTTTTGCTAAGTGTGTGAGATAGTGATTAGAATTCACGAACATCTGTCTTGCAGGACATCCCCAGAGCGGTAAATGAGGTGGCCTTCTTCATCGTCCTCGACGGAGGGAGCTCGCGAACTCTGCCATCGCAAATCATCATCATCATCACCGTATAGGAAGGGCATCACATCATCATCATCGACATCAACGTCATCATCATCATCATCGACACATCATGAATGTCATCACACGTATCGTATTCATCATCATCGTGGCGTGGAATAGAGATCAGCACCGGCCAGCAACACACAGGAAGGGCAAACAACAATGGATTGCCAAATCAACATTGGTTTTCAGAGATATTCAAATGAGGGGAGCACACTCGCAACATAGAAATTTGAGTGGCACCAGCAAAACATAATAGAGACAACAACAGAGATGTAGGCATATTGGGTTATGATGGATATCGCGGATTAGTATTTATTTACTTTCTTTTTGGTATGAATTTACTTACTTTCAAGGATACTCGATTTATATATTTAAAAAAAATAAATAAATAAAACAACAAACAAATAATAAAGAATAGGCGATGCAAGTGATATTTCTTGCGCTCACCCCATTGCCACACAACTAATATACCTCCTCGATCTCCGTGCACTTAGAAATACCAAAAGCAAACGCTGCGAAGTCACCAAGAACAACGAGTGCAACAACAACAATACAAAACCATATTGAAATAAAAACCCGTGCAGTTCGCACGTTGTCCGTTGCTTAATATTGTGCCTGTTGCAATTGTTGCCCAAAGCACTCGCACTTTCGAAAACAAAAATAAAATATCTAAACTTGCTGGCAAAGCTAAATTGAAAACTGAATTTGTGTCAGGTACAACAACAAAACTGTTTTGCTTATCCCAAACGCATTATTTCGATTAACTAAAAATATAACAATTACACTGAATTTAGATCGATATTTGTAATTTTGAAATATTATCTGCATCTATATTGAACTGACCATTCCCACATAAATCTTAATTATCACCGTTTTTATTTGATTCAATTACAAATAAAACTACCGCATTTATGATCTTAATTTAAAATGATTTAAGAAATATTCTTACTCTTATTAGTACTATTACATAGACAAATTAATTGAAACAATGAAATTGAATAAAAGTTCTTGGAATTACTTTTTAAATTATTATTATATGTGCTATCATGAATTTAAACTTAAGATTTTATTTATTTTTTTGAATTTGTTTATAAAGTGTTTATTTAATTGATCCGAAGAAATTTGTTTATAATATGACATAAAACTAATGTTTAGAACGCACTTTCGAGGTAGTAACTATTCCGTAATTAATAGAAAATCAATAAACGTGTTTCCGGTATTTTTCTTTTCCCGGCGTATTTATAGAATCGAGGACTGTTTATGCTGCTACGGCAATAAAATCACGTTGATTCATTTCGACACATGCATTTCGGAACTGTTATTAATAGAGTTGTGGGTGTGCAACGGACACGGGCGCAAACCTAAAAATATTCAGGTACGTTAATTTGTCAAAATGATTTCGAATTCGATATTGTTTTGAATCCAAATAATTATAATTTGAGTTTCGGTTTTGATGACGAAGGTGCCGACGTGTTTGTGGGTAATAATTTCAAGTTCAGAGTGCGTATGGCGAGAGCAAGAGGACAGTTTTAGCTGAACATATATTGTGCTGACATCGAAAAAATGTGTATATATATACACTCCCGATTCAGTTCAACCAAAGCCAATGTTTTATTAATAAAACAACATTTAGGTTTTCGTGACACCGATTCGGTCGGTAGACTTACACAAAAAATATGGATACGGCAGGCGGCGTTAGAATGAGATTGAGATATATAGAGAGAGCGGCACACACACGATGGTGTTAGGAGGGTCAGCAACACACACGGCCTGTACTTACAGCCGAAGCCGCTATTGTTTTGTTATGGAGATGGTAGCGTTGATGGTGGTGATGATTGGTATGGTACATTTGGGAGTGACCCCTAGGCTGTTTGATGGGTGTCGTAGGGGCCGCGGGGGTGGCCATAGCGGCGGGAGCGGCGGAGATCGCGGTCGCATCAGAAGCCCTATTGTAGGCATCGTCTAGCGCGGAATATTTCATGATCAAACTCTGGATCTCCTTCCGCTTGGTCTCCCTGTCCGTAAGGTCAGAGTGGTTGGTCGGAGTTTTCTCGCTAGCTTGAGACGCGGGTTCGTCGAGTGGTATGTCCACCAGTTTTAGGTTCATCTTCCTATCTGTGGTTTCGCTCTTCCTGTGGGGCTTGGAGGATCGCCTAGGACGGAGTTCGGAGTGGTTGGATTTGTGGCGCACGCGGTAAACGGATTCGCGATCGAGGTAGGAATACGGAGGTTCCGGATACTGAGGTTTCTTCTCGCTCTTGTATGGCGTCTTCTCGCGCACATAATTATATGAGGATTTCTCCGGCACATAAACAGTTGAGGTAGTCGCGCTTTTGCTGAGTCCGCGGCCGGATTCAGATTCGCGTTTCTTCCCGTAGATGCGATCTAGAACGGAAGCGTACTTGTCCTCGAAGCGCGTCCGAGCTGATCCCATGGACGCCGTGGAGGCGGATGTGGTTAGTGGGTTAGAGCTGGATGTAGAGATGGCCGGCGTCTTCCGCTGCTGATCCAGCGACGCCGACGGACCTCGAACTTTGGTGGACAGTTTCTGGAGAAGACTTGTACAAGAGTCGCTCAAGAGTTGAGTTACGCTGGTGGTCGAAGATCGAGCGTAACGCGTTCTCCGCGGCTGGCTGGCGTTCCCTGCCATCGAACTAACCGAGCTTCCAGAGGTGGACCTGGTGGGCGCATAACTCCCCGAAGCCCACGGCGCCGAATGCCAGTTGTATCCCAACCGATCATAGTCATCGTAAGCGCTACGCTGACGCGAATACAATGCTGACCCATACATCTCCAACACCTATCATCACTTCATTTGGACCTCAAGATGAAATCGGTGGTCCAAGCAAATTTACTTGCGACCGTCGCGTTATCGGTTCTACTATAACTAACTACTGGGGCATAATAAGCGCGCGACCGAACTCGATGCCAAATACCGCCAAACTAAAAATACCAAACAGCTACCGCGCTACAGCTCCATACGCTCTCCATCCTATATAATACACACACACTCGCCAGCACACACACTATAGCCATTGCTATTGCTGCCTGGTTACGTAAAAAACTAAAGGTAAGCAACGCGGAGATTATTCTGGATCCGATTCACAAAACAAAAATAACGACACCCCGCCAAAAGAAAGAAGGAGACGCAACAAGAGAGCGATTCGATATATCCGTCCGATTGAAAAAACTGTAACATCATCATCACCAACTAATTTTAATATATTCCATCAATGCCAAAAGTCCCCTACTAACGATTCTACCAAGTATTTTCGAGGCGCACGCGAAACGCAGATCTCGCGAGTAAACAGATTACTCACGGAAGAAACAAACACTTTCATCCGTATATAAAAGCAATGTTGTTCACTAAAATTCAATATCATTTAACATAAAAAAAACAGGACTGCAATCATTGTTAATAATTTAAAATGATCTTTCATTCACAATTTACTCAAACAGCATTCATTCGAGATTTGATTTTCCTTTAACAATAGGTAAAAGTGTTTTAATATTCCAATGAATTTAAACGCAAATGCAAAAATATTTAGAATTACTGCTTTAAAATAAATATCCACAAAATCAGACAAGCAAAGAAATTTGATATTGGAAATATTGCAATTATTTTGACTTGTGAATAAAAATATATAATAGATACCATTATTTGATCTAATATGTATATAATAAACAATCATACAAAATGTCGATTAGGTTATTGGTTGATAAATTAAAGATAGGATGCGAGCCAATTACTGCTAAAATAGGCCATGAACCAAACAGCAAAATACATTTAAGAAATGTTTTCCCTGAAACATTTTGGCCCGAATGCCAAGAAAACAGACCACAACCAAGTTTTCCATTGCCAACCGTCTCTTCTAAAAAAAAACAGTCAGTAGGTCGTGGTCTTAGGCCGCTGCGGTCAACCCATTTTCAAGTTTCCTGATGATCGGGCAGACTACCGCGACAAGGTAATACCATCTCTTCGTTCTCGCACTACCGCCGTTCAAAGCGCGTCCGCGATCTGCTATTATTAAAAATGTGACACTTTAAGGTGTATATTAATTATTACCAAGCAATTCACTTTCAGTTGTAATAGTTATTATTTCGGTAATAATTACGACAATCATTTACTTATATGTTTAGTACTTATAAGAATAAATCATTTCTAGAATGACAAGAAACCCATAATGGAAAGACCATCAATAGCAATTTGCAATCATTTATGTGGTCGTCATACATGGATACTCCAAAATTCATCCAAATTCATAAAAAAAACATTTCAAAGCAAATACTTCCGAAAGCTTATTATTTCAAACGGCAAACGTTTCAATTGAATCTAATTGTTCGTACAAACAAATAGCAAGGTGAGTAATTTTCCTGAAATTCTAAATTTTCGAACAAAATGCGCGTTTATGCGAATATTTTGTTAGCCTGTTTACTAGACTGGAAATTTAGACGATCTTTACTGGAACAATATAAAATTTCAACAGTTGTTTCTCGGAAATGAACTCTTTCTTTTTATACTATTTTTTATGTATTCACTTCTAATAAGTATCTTAAAAATAAGTTAAAATTCAATACAAATCCAATGTAATTCAATTCTGATTAAAATATGTTATCAGATATAAATGCGGACCCGATACAACTACTTCAAATATTTTGCAAGATATGATTTCTATTTGCCTCTAAATAATTCTCATTATTCACAATATCGTCCAGTACCTTAATAACAAATTTCTTATTTGCTTTGTGTTTTAAGGTCTCCGACCTATTTGCAATGCGGTATAATTTAAAAAGAAAACATGAATTGAGTGGAAAAATAACGTTTAGTTGAATATATTAATTAAGTTTTACGGTAAATAAATAGAGCATTATATTGTCGTTTATCGAATGAGATAATGCTCGCTTTTATTATATTTTTCCGCGACGCAAAGGCACAACATAGATATATGACATGATACAATGGATCCACACATTATTCACTTAATTCAGTTTTACTATTATTGTGTAGACAGACACCCAAAGCTAATTAGTAATAATAGGTGGAATAAAAATAAAGGACAAAGCCAAACCTTTAGAAGTTTCTTAATGAGTTTCCTTATCCTCGCCGCGAGTTTGATAGCACTGTACTCGGACTTCTTATTGTAATCATTGCAGATCACTTTCAACAGCATACTGAGCTACCTAACTACATCGATACGGAGGAGTAGTACCAAGCCAATATACATTAGCGAACCTTCAGCGCTTTATGATAAGCGAATAAAACACATTGCGCGATAAGGATTATCCCCACTACACGGTGCGTTCCTGCGAACTGCACACACACAGCTACTAGAAATGTAGGTGTATATTTGTTTTATAAGTTGAGCAACCCGCTTACTCTTTGTATAAACAAATGCCGATTGCGTACTGACGACGCGGAAGAGAGAACTGCTTGGTATTTAGTTGAAGTGTGCTTCGCGAAACGCACTGATCACAGTAGAACCAAGATTGGAATGGATGGGGTGTCTGAACAATAAATAAAGCACACACACGCCATGCACGAGAGTTTGAGTACGGATTGGAGATTCGCGTGCTCTGGTCAGTCAGCAAGCACAGGGGAAGGAGGTACCACCGCCGAATGGCTTTCGGAATGCGCGAAAATTTATTATGTAAAATTATGTGCATCGGAAATGGCTCTCGCGTGCTTCAATTCCAATTATTGGACGGGATGTTGTTAAGTATAAAAAGCAGCAACGACAAAATGCAAAGAAAAGAAAAATCAAATCATGAGAATCGTCGAAAAGACCTTAAGAAGGCGGGGGCAGTAGCGTGGGCGGCGTCTACTCGGCAAGGCCAGTCCGAAGATTCGAGCGGCCGCCTCGCGTTGTGCCACCGACCACTCAGCCATCGACCAAGAGGTGGTGCACCATCGCGGCTCTCGGAATGACAATGGCAGTGATTAAACTGAAACTGAAAGTTACGCACTCACGGCTCCAGCTTTTTCACATCTTGGCCCGGAATAGACAACGCGCGGTCAAGAATAGACACGGCCAAAAGGGAAGCCCCACTGATCTAAGAATGTACCTAACTCCAGAAATAGTCCTAAAAGCCTTTTTCCAGTTCGCCTTGCCAGCAGCCGTTTGCTCTTGGTTCTGAGTGCACTCAGGTTTTCACCGTGTTCGTTAAGTTTCTTTCTAAGTTTTAACAACCTTTGTGACGGTCTTTTGATACCTATGATCGTTTCGGAGGAGGTATTTGCGGATCAAGTTGTACACTCATATACGTAAATATATGCCTAATCGTGGTTTGATACTGACCTTGTCGTCGGAATACGAACGGCGACCGTGCTTTCTGTGCCTTGAAGATGACCTTTCGTGGCGGTGTCGATGACGCTTCTTCGACGTGGGGGACCTCCTGTGACTTCGCTTGTACCTCCTTTCTGCACTAGACCCTCGATCGTATTGTCTCGACCTGTGCGCTCTTTCACTACTACAACAATCCCAAATTAATTTCTATCGAAGTTAACACAGTTAATGGAAATAATTAAAATGAACAATCACAGAGAAAACATTTCAATTTTCATTGAAAAACATATGTACGCATAATAAACTGAAGTTAATTTATCACAGCAGTGAATTTACTTTAACTGCTTAAAATACTCCATTTTGTATTTCCTCAAAATGACATATATACAATGTAAAATATCTAAACGAAATATAATAAATATTACTACACTAATTAAATTTTTACTAAACAGATTTGAAAACACATTTTTTAAATACATATATGTCTGCTTAAAACAAACAAAAATATATTATTACCAAAAATAGTTGCTTGAATTTTATGTCGAATTGCTGTTTGTAATAGTTTTTTTTTTGAATATTCAATAGGACCAAACCATTAACTCTTTAAATATTAATATCCACGTATTATAGATATTTTGTTATGTTTACAAGTAAAGCTAAGCCAATGAAAATGCTTATTACATAACGTATTAAATACGAAACAAAAATAAAATACACCCGGACACGCGAAGCGTTTATACCGATTGTGATCTCCGGTCGATTATAAGGGTACTTGTTCCCTTCTATGTCACCCAAAGTCACGTTCATCTGAAGGTTGCAACCAGAACGATTACTGTTAAAAAAATACTAATATCAAAATATACTAATATATGCTTTAACAAATGTATTTAATCAATTATAAAATTAATAAATTTTAAACTCACGGTTACATAAAACTTAAAAATAAAAAGCTAAATAATAATCTTTATTAGTCACAATTGTAACCAAAGAGCTATCGACCTAAGTCTTTCCGCGCAAAGCTAAATATATTATAAATTAGTTAAAAGGAACGGTATAATCTAAGGTGCATCTGCAAAATTGTATATACTATTTGCTAAAATTTAAATAAAATAGTTTAAAAAGTGTTTATTTAAAAAAAATGTAATACTATATTTAAGAAAGCGTCACAAGAAATTAATATTTAAATTAGTATTATATCCGTAGAAAATACTTTTTTTGTTAGTAGATAAAAATATTTCAGACACGAGTTAGTTATCAACGATTCCAAATATAATAAGACAAATGTAGAAAAATGTGACAACGAAATGAAAAACGTGGATATCCAGAGCGATCCAATTATAAAATTATTTATTACTTACAAAAATATATATATTTCACACAATTTAATTGTATTCAAAAACATTTTGCAAAATTAAATGAAATAAAAACATAATGTATTTAAATGTATTCGCATTCGGAAGCGATGTTAGTTTCAACTGGTTTTAGAAGTAATAGTTAAAATTGAAATAATTGAACACAAACACAAATTGTCTTTTGAACGCGTAATAAAAATAAAATCTATTTTGCACCAAAATATATTTTTGTTTCGACTTCTTCCATCTCTCTTCCACGCAGTCTTCGTTATTACTCAGCACGTTTTTCCCGCATCGGTTCATATAAATAGGTGAGGAGAGTCACAACTTAAATATATAAACCAAAGAGCTTGCTCGCGAAGAATAGGATGTCCGTTGATACAGATAATACGACGTAATTAAAAATAGGTTAATCACTATGTGTAAGGCTATATGGTTACGTGTTCCCATTTGTTGGGCAACTGCAACTCCACGTTATGCTTCATCCGAACGTCCTCCTTAACAATCCAACACATCTTGTTCTTTTCGTTCGGAACCTTTGCCCACTCGGCGATCTGCTTCAAATTCGTTTTCACTTGTGATGCAGTCACCGTCACGTTTTTTGATTTTAGAAATTCCAAGAATTCCTTCACGATGGCCGTCCCCTTGCGGCCGTTCCCGTGAACCAGTCGTATTAAATCCGGGATCAGCTCTACATCAAGACCTTTCTTCTCACGTTTACTATT